CAAGCACATCAATCTCATCAATCAGGTGGGATTGGAATAAATTCGAGCACGCGCGACTCGCCTCATAATAATCCGACTTGCCAGAATCGGCTGCTGAATAAATAATTCCAAACAACCTTCATTTATTTTCATGGTTTGATGAAAAGGCTTAAATTTAAATTCAGAAAATATCGTATAGATAAATAAAAATAATGGAGAGAAATAACTGATATATTTTTTTACAGGCATAAATTATTTAATTATTTTTTTTCTTCACGACTTTTTGCATCGAAACTGGCTTGCCAGACGACAAGACTTCCTTTGCCAGGGCAAGTCAGGTCGTGCTGTGTCAAAGGTGTGCCACACCCTGAGTGCAGGCTGGCGAGTGCACGCATAATTTATTGCAAACGAGACGAGAGACGCGATTGCGGCAGACTCGGCACGAATCCTTCTCCGACGTGTGTCTGAATCGCTCGCTTTATTTTGTTTTAATTGGCACTTCTTGTGGTGTGTAATGCCGGTGCGAATGAAGAAGGAATTTGCCTCGGTGCACCGAACAATATACAATAATTACTCGTTCATTATATTCCCAGCAGGGCACGCATCGGAATTTCGCAGCATTAAAATTCTCTATTTTGATAACGTTCGGTGGTTGAAGTGCTGGTCTGTGCGGTATTTAAATTTGCATTTAATGTGTATAATACCAGATTGCAGTAATTGTTTCTTGGTAAAGCAGACGTTTAGCTGATTGCATAATACAACGGGTGTGTGCTTAACAATTAGATCATAAATTATATAGACGCTTTCTTCAAGTTTGAAAAGCTGATTTTAAACATGAGCAATTAAATGTGTGTCTGTTTAACAACGTTTAACAGTATATAAATGAAGTTATTACAAAAGAATAAAAAAAAATCTGTAACAATAACAATAAGGGTTTGATTTGTTGTTGCTTTTTCTTTTCAATAAATTGAATGTTTTTCCGTTATTTTAAATTTTAATAAAATTTATTTTCCTTAGATTTCAAAACATTTTTACAAATACTAAATTTTTTTAATAACATATTACATACAATCAATTTTATAATTAAATATTATCGTATTTATTAAAATAATTACATTATTTTGTATTCTATTTGACCTTTTGACCTGCACTGCAAGAGAGTTAGAGAAAAACAATATTCTTGTCAAAATCTTTTATACTCTGATTTTCCAGACGCCTCAAGCAATTTTAGAACCACCTAACGTCACTCTTAAAATATTGGCTTCCTTACTGAAAAAATTGTATATTGCTCGGTTGCTCTCTTTCAATCTCCATTGAATGGGAAAACGCGACGCTCCCTTTTAAAAACAACCATAAAACGTGCTGGGAAATAAACCACGCTAAAAATAAGCCTATGGCCGATATAGCATTCGAAAACAAGAGACGCAAAATTGCCTACAAAAGCATGCAAATTTAATTAGTCGGTTTGTTTTGATTTCAACTTCCGTCCATGGCTGTAACTGGAAAGCACTCTGACTTTTTGCACCTGAAGTTGCCGCAACCACTCTAGCGGTGGGAGATTGTGATTATATCAGATTAGGGGTTGATTACGGTCGTGATTAAAAGCAGCACCCTGCTGGGCGTCGGATTAATTATCTTGAAATTCGCTCGGGCGAAATTTTGCACCATAAATAAATTTCGCACTTTGTCCGCCTCCTTCGAAATTAATAAATCAAACACACTTTTTGCCCATGGGCCAATTACTGTAATCATCGGCCTAATCGCCACGTTGGAAATTAATCGACCAGAATAGTTTGTAAAACCTGTTTTGAAAATATATGCATGATAATCGACCGACTTCCACATTTTATAAACGAGCGCACGTCTGCAGGAATAAAATAATAATAACTGGTTATTCAATTGAATAATTAGCAATTATGATCGGCGAGGAAGATTTTTTTCTCTCATTCCGAGAAGAGTTTCTTTCAAAGCTTTCTGATAGTTGTGAAAAGCAGCACGTGCGCCGGCCGTCAGAGTTATTCTCGAGGAGCGCAAATTACTCATTGCGAAAGAGCGGGTCGGAAAGTTGAAAAAACAAAACGTTCAGTCATAGAGGATGTGCATTTCAAACAAAAGAATGGAAATTATGCGTGTCCAGCCTCACGCTCTGCCATCGCAGATCTGAATATTTCATGACACGCAATCGCGGGGATGAAAAAATCAGCGATTTATCTCTCAAAACACAAAACTGTGCGTCATTGAAGCATTTCACCGCATTTTTTTAAAAACAAAATTAGAGTTTAAGTTGCTAATTGCTATTGTGTGCAGATACATTTCTGTGTTTCTGTTTTGTTATTTTCGTTGGAGCTACAAAATTTCTGAAAATAAAATTTTACATAATATTTAATCTACAGTTTATTTATGAGGTTCCTAAATTAAATTTTGTTTTTACGATTTGCAATTATAACTTTAAACTCAGTTTAAAATCACTGGTATTTTTTTCACTCATATTCAGAATTTGACGTTAAATTTCTAATAAAAAATTCGGTTTTCTGTGAATTTCCGCAGGATTTCGTATTTAATTTCTACGTGGAGCTTTCCCGAAAGTAAGGGAGAATTTGTGGAGGGCACGCAGTTAAGTCTTCAACTTTATAGGTGAAGTGGCCCTCCGGTTTGTGTGCGAAAAGATTTACCCGCAGAGTCCTTCACGCGCAACTTCGCTCTATTTGTTGCGAGCAAGAATAAGATGAAAGAATAAATACTAAAACAAATACGGGCGAGGAATGGATGCCTTCGAAAAAATTCATTCTACAGGAAAAATGGCATGCAGAGCTGAATAAGTTCCTTGCATCAAACTTATGACAAATAATTAATGAATAATTTAATTTCTCAATACGTAATATTTATTTCATGTCAAAAAAAAAAATTAAATTTTTACTAAAGTTTTTTCTCACTTTTATAAATTTTATATTTATTTTATAATGTGGAATCATAATTCATGTATGTTATTTATTGATTGTTTCAAATATTTAAATTGGTTCAAATATTTTTTTATTGAATGAAGGAATTGAAAATTGATTTGGATTTTATTTTTGAATTATTTCAATTTCTAAAATTTTCCTGAATAAAAATCGTATTACGTGCAGTGACGTCAGCAATAAATCTGAACAACAATCGGTCACGCATCAAAAATAAAATTGAAGTCATCGGGAATAATAAACGCTCGCATAACTCATGAATGGATGCACTTTGTTGCGCCAACCAGAGTCGTAAAAATAGAAATACGGTGGTCTTCTCTCTCACACACAACCAGGCACGAATTTCAATGAGAGGACGAGAAGAAAATATTAATTCAATCTCGGCAGGATCCTTTTGGCAGGGGCACCTGCATTCTCACTTCACACTGACGCGCCGAGAAACTGCACAAAAGGCGAGCATTGAAACGCGGCGCAACCAGAGCGCAATTCATTCTAGTCCAGAATCAAGCTCGCCTGAAAGCGCGTTCGATTTCATCGGCTTTTTTCCGACCGGCCTTTGAAGCAGAAACCCAGCAAATAATTTCATTTGCCCGCACAAAGGACACTTCATTAAAAAAACCTCCCGTTTGGAAATTGCACGAGTCATGAAAGAATATCGCAAAAATAACAAACTTACAGGTGTAGTATATGAAAAAAACTAAAATGAAAGGAAATATGATATATTTTATGAATTTCATGACTGTTTATTTAGTATGTTCTGTCTTTGTATTTTTAATGTATGTATTTTCTCTTTCTCTCTCTTGCTACCAATTTAATTTATAATATTGAATTTATGGATGATGTATTTGGGCGGAGAATGCCCGGTGATACATTATTAAACATGATTGCAACTATTTAAATTACTATTCAATGCTCATTAAGTTAATTTAGAGCTTATTTTCACGAAAAAAAAAATCATTTTGGCCATATTTTTTTGCGTGTTTATGCAGGTTTGTTTCTTTTCACGCTGAACTCGTAGAAACAAACGCCATCTTTGCTGTTTTATATTGACGGCTTTATTTATTCAGCCTGCTTAAGCCAATTCAACATTATTCACAAGTAATTTGTCGGAACTTTAGTGAAGTCCACCTTTGACCCGCTCGGCGGAATTGGACCAATCAAGTGGTGCGAGGAATCCAGCCCAATTTCGTGCGAGTCAAATAAAAAAAGGCTAATTTGAGCGTCCATAAAAGTCACCACTGCGGTACGAATTTTATTGTTATTTTTTTACAACCGCATGATTTCACCGCACCCAATTTGCATTTTATTTATTAACACCACGCGGCCACCAATTTGCACTTTGCTGAATTTTTCCTCGTCTTTTGCATTTCGCGTTGAAATTAGTTTGTCTGGTTTTGCGTGTGGTCCGCGTCGCACTGCTGATTAATTATTGCCGTCGCGCTCCTTGATTAGCATATTTCACAATATTTGGACTGGCACGGCCAGGGGTACGACAGATTTTGTTCGCTCCGTAGATTGAAATTTATGTTCCCATACAATTGGGAAGCTGCACTCGCAAAATAACCATTAAACTAACAGTCTACAATTGATTTTAATTCTTATGCATAAATTAATATAAAAATCTACATCGTACTTTAAACTTGCTTTAACGAATTCAATCTTTTTATTGGGATAATTTATTTTTATGTCTAAAAATATTTAGTTTAATTGTAATAAAAAAAACACACGACTGCAAAAGACTTCCCTGGGCTTTTTCCACTCTCCTTTTTTTAGATTTTCTTTTATTTTGTCTATTTTGAGACTCTCGATTTAAAATATCAGGACTATTTTGAGTTACTATAAATAAATTTTAACATTATATTCGCAGATAATAAGTGTAAATTTCATTATATATTCTTACTTTGATTAAATTAACTTAGCGTTTATTTCTTATCTGAAATTCAGGTTGCTATTTTCCAATTTAAATAGCAGAAGTTTTATTTTAATTTTAAATAAATTAATAATTTAAGACATTAAAACTTGAGCAATGAAATTCCCCTTCCAAAATAATTTTCTGGTACTCACCGGGAAATGAAATCTCCTGACAGCCCGCTTCGTCGGACTGGTCGTCGCAATCAACTATACCATCGCACTTGCGTTTAATGTCCATGCACCTGTTGGTGTCGCACTGGAACTCCAATGTGCCACACACGGCTGAAAATAATTTAAATTAAAAATTAAAACAAGCCTGTTGCTAGATGAAATGTTGAATACACTGAACATCAAACGAATGTTTTTTTTACTAATTAATTACAAACTTGTTGAGAAATTAGATTTAAAAAGACACGATAAAATAATTCCTAATGCACATAATTTCAAACTGGTGGCATTATTAAAATCACTTCAAATTTTAATCTTTTAAATTAAATGCTGCTCTTATTTGTACATAAAAATGTTTAAAAAATTTAAAATAAAAATCATCTGTATTTTTCGCACTTGCTGGTGTCGTGCTTGTGTCGGGCTTGTCGGGGCAGTTTTTCGGGTCTTCGTCGGTGTCTCCAGGGCAGTCGGGGTTTCCATCGCACAGCTGGGCGCTGCAGATGTATAAAGTACCTCCAGGGCACCTGACAGCGTCGTCGGCCCTGCAGCCGTCGCGCGGCGGCGGCACCGGCACGGGCACTGACGCGAAGATCGTGGTGCGCGTTTCGGGAACGATTTCTGGCGACATGATTTTTTTTGATGTCAAGAGAAAACGTTGTAGCAAATTTCGACTTCCGTCACCCGTTAAAAACTCCCTCAACTCACAAATAGAACAATTGCATTTACAGAAGAGGAAATTTTCGAAATTTTACAATAAAAAAAGAGCAAAAAGCAAATGGGAAAAATATTTACAGATGAGGACTGGTTTTAGTGAAGCGCTGAGAAGCTTCTTTTCAGGATTTTCTTACATTTTAGATCCAAACTAAATGGTTACAATTGATGAATATTATACTTATTATTGCTATTATTGGGGGATATTCACTAAGTAAGTTAGCTTATGGGAATTGCAGGTACTAGCTTAGCAGGTGAATTTGAATATCCTCCATTAATATCAGAGTAACAAATATTTTCGTTCATATAACAACAGAATTTTGTGAAAGTAATCATTTTAAAGGTTAAGAGTCCAAATTGTTATAGAATCTTATTTTTTTCTAGATTTTATTGCAAAGAAGGAGAAGCACAGAATAATTTGCTAAAATAGAGAAGAATATAGCAGTTAGTTCCCAAATCTCTCCTGAGTAAATTTTGTGCTCCATTATAATATCGCACTCAATAAAAACTAAATAATATAATTTTTCAATACTTTTTCTGCCTTTTTTCAGAACTTAACTTTCCGTAGAAAATCTTGCTTGAAATAAAAATGAGAGGTGATCATTTCAAATTTTATGTGAACAAAATCTTTAACTCTTACTATTATTTTTTACTGCTTTTGATTGTAAGTTAAGTAAGGAAGGTCTGGTTCACTTGAATACAAAACTGCAAGGTATAAAAAATTTCTGTGTTCATATAACGCACAGAAGCATTTTTACTTCACATTCCTCCAAGAAAATAGGGACAAGAATTTTTCATTTTTCATTCCTCTCCTTATAAATCTTATTTATATTCTAAGAAAAAGAGTATTAAATCAAAAAAGCCGCGAGTTAGTGCGAGACCTTTCATGGATCGAGTCCCTCTAGCTTGATAATTATTAAGGTTTGCAAGTAACAATTTTGGTTATTGAATGAAGGCAGGAAATCGATCAAAATCGATCTTATAATTGGCCAACAAGCTGTTAAGGCGCGTTTATAATTTGTAGCTACAGGCTAGCTATAAACTAGCAGAAAGCACGCCAGCCGATTATTACACGCTTCTACTTTGTAAATAATCAGCGACTCTCCTAAAGAGAAGCGATGGTATCTGACTCGAATTGGCGCAAAAATACACACAGATATTTATATGTACATTGTGAAATCCACCACCAAACAACATTAACACAAAGTAAGTTTCACACTGTTAGAGACTATTTGCTAGAGCAGAAATATATAAATGTAACAATGAAATTTTATACAACAGCGAAAATTGCGCACCAAGGTTTAAGCATTGAATAATTATTGACAGCAGCAGTAGAAAAAATAGTGATGTATATTTTTATGTACAGAAAATTTTGCCTGATAAAAATTGCAGGCTGATTGGATTAGATTTTAAAAATCTGCAATTTTTATCTGACAATCCAGCACCATTTATGAACACACATTTTTTTTAATATTAAAAAAAGTGAACTACTAAAAAGCAATAACTGTGCAATTCACAATGACACTTACCTGCTGTCGAGCACCCACTTTCATCGCTGCCGTCTAGGCAGTCGTTTTTGCCGTCACATCTGACATAATTGTCGGGACACTCACCATTATCACACATATTCTGACATTCACCTACGCGAAAATAAAAAGAAATAAAGAAATAAAAGTTCTAGAAACTGAACTGAAAATCGTAAAAATCTAAAAAAAGAGGAAAAGAATGCAAACCTTGAATGTACTTGAAGGAAAAGTTGCTGTCGTAGAAAGCAGTGTTTCCACCAATTTTGCCAGTGTTTTTAATGTGGTTGATCAACTTCTGCTTGAGTGACAGAGTGCTGTGGAACTTGGTGCTTCCCACGTCGAATCGAACCAAAATTCTGAATGTATCCGACTGGTATTTCCTGAGGAACAGAAATCGTTCAGTAAATAGAGTTAGAAATATAAATATTTTAATATTTCAAATTGTTATACTTCATCATAAAATAAATATATATAAACTGAAAATTCAACAAAAAAAAGTTTTTTATTTTAATAAGCCAACTTACTCAAATGAAAGGATGTTGACCATGAACCGGCCTCCCTGACTTCCGTGCGTCTTCTCGTACATATTTTTCACATCAGAGGAGATGCCACTAGCCAATGATTTGAACGCATCCGAATTTCTGTTGGCCAAGTTCGGGTTGTAAATCTCTTCCATCAATACTGCCACCCGGTAAAAGTCTGCAAAAAGAAAGTTTAATGAAATAAAATTTTAGAGTCATCAATGCGCAAATTTTAAAAGTTAGTTTCCGAGACATCTTTCGGAGGGCGCCTGAAACCGCACGGGTATGCAACCGGCGTGACTTGAGCGCCGTGCCGGCTGCCCAACTAACAACGCCCAACGATATTAAAAATTGCGCGAGAATTTACCCCTTCTTTCAAACTTAAATTATATCTAGTCTTAGAATTTAATTTTGAACCAAAAAGATAAAAATAAGAATTCTTTATTATTAATTTATTTAGTTTAAAAATTTAGATACAAGCAATTTTCTTTTTCATTTTTCAATTTGAATACTTCTCATTTCGCATAAAAAATTTTTATTTCTAATACTGTTAATTAAATAAATTAAAATATACTTAAAATTCCAAGAGTTTTTATAATAGTTAACTTATTCCGAAATTTTCAATTTTTTTCCAGTTTCATTTTTCATTTTTGTTATTTAATATTAAAATTAGGATCAATTTAAAAACTCACATGGCTTTCCATCACTATGTACCGGTGACGTCCTCGTCGTCTCATTCTCGCCCGAGAAGTTGTCGATGAATCCATCGGTCGCATCGACGCCAGACGACGCGTCGTCGTCATCGTCGATCGGCGCCGTTTGTCTCCGACGGTGCTTTTTCTTCTTCTTGAGCTGTCTCGGCGCCGCTCTTCGCACCCGGTCGTGATTTTCAAGGTCCGAAGACGGCTCGTCTTCCTCGTTTCCGGCGCCGAACCAGCCGAGCACCATGGACCGGAGGCTGCCTAGAGGACCCCGTTCGCTTCGGATCACGTTTTCCTCCTCCAGCAATCCGTCCAGAGGCTCTTCCGGCGACTCGAGAGCGCCGTCGTCAAACACCAGGTCACCATTGGGCTCACTCTGTGAACAAAATATAGGAAAATAAGTTAAAATCAATTTACTAATAATAAATTGAATATAATAAAATTCTGATAGTGAAGAAAATTGAACTTTGTGAAATATTTACTTATTATGTTCCAATATAGAGTATTAAAGTTTAGACTCAGAGATTTATCCAATTTAATTTCCCCAAAAGGAAAGATTCACTTTTGAGATCATCCAACACGTCATAAGCCATTTATTTCCGCCGCTGTATATAACATTCGCCCTGACTTTTGAGCAAGACGAAGGAAAACGACTAGCTGGACGATGAATGGAAAGAATGGAGTGTGGGTTTGGTGAATCTGACGGTTATTGTGGCCTGTGTGGGATTTCGATCTCCAGAATGAAATCATTTTCTTTTTTTTTCGTGACCATAACTTCTATATTTTTATTTCCAAGGAACGAAAGTCTATCTCTCGAATAATTTTTTGGTGCGTCTTTTCCTTTAATTTCGCTCATGCAAATGGAGCCTTTTGTGGACGGTAAAAAAATTATGTAAAAGCTGGCAGTCGCTAATGAAGACAAAAAAGACGAGTCATGAGTCACGTCGTCGGATAGCGAAACGGCGACGGGACTGTAAGAGGTATAAGTAAGGCCTTTAAGTGGATGCAGCATCAGGTATGTACATATAAGTAAGCGTAATTATTTTCTTGTTCAAGGATGGGCTGTTTAATCATATGAAATGTGGTCCTTTCAGGCTATGACGGCGGATCTCTTTTTGCTTTCGAGATCTACCCGATAGCGCGAAATTCATTTTTAAATTCCAGAAGCTAATTAACTTGTTAATACATCAGTCGAGCGCAAACTTAAAATATTCGTGCCAAATAATTGCAAGATTTTGCCTATTGCAATAAAAATGGAGATTTTCTATGAGAAAGTATTCTATTATACGAGGGTGACCTCATTTATCGAATGCAAATTTGCGCACCGGCTATGAGGCAAGAGTAAGTGCGGAGCTAAATTTATCCCCCAAGTCGCAACCAATCTGTCAAAGCTTGAAAGCTAAAACAGTCCAGACGTGTAACTCACACGAAAATGCAATTTAAAATTCATGTGGCGAAATTCCAGTGTAAAGTTTTAGTGAATAATTGATGCTCTTTGAAATAATATTGCTAGGAGGAGGAAGGTTTTGTCTTACAATTAATTAATTAATATTTAGAACAAATTCTACATTTTTTATCTACATTTAATTCATTAAAAAACTAAGATAGCTAGTTTGAAATATTAGCTGCATTAATTATTATTTAAGTTCAGTTCGATAAAAATATTTTTATTTTAAATTTTCCTTCTTATTAATTCTTCATAAATTACTACTTTTCTTAAGAAAGGGAAACTTAAGCTTGAGCAATGTTTCAGTAAAAATGAGGTCGCGTACATACTCGTACGTAACTGAATCAGCATCCAGGAATAAAGACCCTTGAGGAAAGAAAAGTCGGCGGCATAAACTGAAAATAATTATTGTTTGAGAGGCGTCGGCAGAGCGAACGCGAAGCATTTGTGAAAAAAATTGAGCATGACCGCCGAGCGTTTATTCCATTCATTGCGGAAAGTAAAGAGCTTAAATTTCCAGAAGCACAGCGAGCACATAAACAAACTATACTTAAACGGCGAAGTGCACGCCGCGGATGAATATAAATCGCGTATGCCGATTCCGAGAAAGAAGAGAGAGAGGCACGGAGCTTATTTTAATTTATATTGCAGCGCCATCCTTGTGAATAATGCAGGTATGGAGAGGAGACACAAGGAGGGCTAGGTTGTGCACAGGCACGTTCTCAGAGCTTTAAATTAGGAATTATTTATGAATGCATTGTCTCCATCTTATTTATAAAAACATAATTCATCTCGCTGACTCATCGATTTTGGTCAAAGTTTAATTTTTCGGATTCAAAATTTCAAATATTTAAAAGTTTACTAAAATAATTTTTAATTACTCTCTAAAATTGGAAAATGAATAATTTAGGGAGTAAAATAAGTCTCTTTATATTTCAATATCTAGATTTTTCACTACCACTTATTAAACTATATGATTTAGAGAAACTATCACTGGTTTTTTTTTCGGGTCAGGCCAAAACAAAAAAAGTCTTATCGGCCCTGCCCTTTGTAGAGATTACAGAGGGCAAGCGCAAATTCTTTTGAATATATTTTGTACTATAAAATTATTATCATTTAAAAATTGCAACACCATTTTACTAAATATAGACGATTTAATTTACTTTCCTTTTGGTTTTTACTCATTCAATCTTGAAAATTGTCTAGGACCTCTAATTCCGCTCCGGTTCGCTCCATGTAATTAATAACAATTAATTATAATCAGTGATGCCTGAATAATCCTGGAAATTACACATAAAACGGTCTCGCAGCGAGAATTCCGCCTACGGGCGAGATTTCATTAAAGACCACCCAACTCAATATCTGCGCCGCTCCAGCTAGAGTGGGCTGAGCCGATTCAAAAGATTACTTCAGGAATTTATACCTTTTTTCCATTTTCAGGAAATGCATTTCTTCTGCAAAATTACGCATTGCTGTTAGTATTGCAGATCTCATTGTGCTGAATAAGACTTTGATTAAATTTCCGGATGCATTTCTGGCCATTGTTGCTGCAGAGAGGGCATTATTGTGCTGATATATGTGTACATTGTCGCCCGGCCGAGTGTCGGCTTCTGCCGCGGGAAATTGCTTTTTCTCTTGTATATTCATTCATTCAGTTCTTTTATTGCGTCGTGTAGTGGCAGCCACCCACAATGCACAATTTTACCTCCAACAAAGCGGCCACGGGATTGAGAAGAGGCGAAGATGCATGCGGCAACTTGGGGGCTTCATTGTTCGGTGGTGCGGAGCATCTTAAGAAAAAAAACTCAGGAAGAACTAAGAAAACAAAACCTCATATAATTCTTTTTAAAATATTAAAATTATGATACATGTTGTATAATTATTTCGAACACATATTTAAATATTTTAACTTTTGCAGTATTTAATTTATTGAAAAAATTTTATTTTGTTTATTTAAAATGGAAGCGTTTTTAATTTAAATAGAATAATAAAATTAGGGATTGCAAAATTTAGTGAAGCAAACTTATGTTGCGAATAATGCTATTTTTACTCCAGATTACAAAATCATGGATCAACTGATTTGAAAATATCGGAAGAGTTATATTTGACAGGATTTCCACTTTATTTACTTTATTATTATTTGAATTTTAAAATGGTTACGGTCCATAAATTGTAATTTTCTGTTGAATCATAAATCATAAATTTCGGTTCCAACAGAATTGAGGTTAAAATTAATTAAAATCAATCAAATTTTTGTGTTAAATATTTATTATCCTTGCTTATTGTTAGTTTCAGAATTCCAGAAAATATTGCTGGTGTTCTCTTTTTTTATATATGTTTTAAATGTTTTTCGTAGTTCAAGATTTTAAGTTAAGATACTTGAAGTCTATGAAAATTCACTCCAGGCCGCTCCAGGCAAAGTATTTATCCTATACGAATATAAAAATATCTTGCCGAAACCTAATAATAATTTGCAAACTTTGATTTCTGGAGAAGTATAATTCTCTCAACAGCTGCCAGTTGAAAGGCTTTTTGTTAAAATAATATTTCCATGCAAATACACCACCCCCTGCAAATATAAGTGCACGCGAATATCCCTTTTCCGTCGAGCCGCCGGCTTTCAGCAGGAAAAATAAACACAGATCAAGTTTCTGCTCCAGAGGAGGTCAATACAGAGACGAGTCCCTCCGAGAAAGAAGAGATCCCGTTTTCTCGCCAGCGGGCCATTTATTAATAACGAAAAGAGCAATTTTTCTTTAATTAAGATGAATCTGTGCAAATTAATAACGCTTAACCTTCCTTCTCCTCTGCGTGAAAAAAAAATATAGAAAAATGTATGAATTCTTTTTTGTTGAATTTTTCGAACAGAAAAAGTCTCAAGGCTGACCATAATTCAGCACTGGTTTTCTCTGTTTATTATGCAAATCAGAGATTTCGTGTGTATTTTTTTACTTCTTCTGACAATTGGTGCCAAAAGAAGTTAGACTTGACGTGATTTGCGGGCAATTTTTCACAGCTTTGGCACCAAACGTGTGATTTCGCGGCTGTCTTGTGAGAGGAAACGCGAGATGAAAGAAAAGTCCGCCCTCGCTCTCGGTTGGCAGACAAAACCAAAGCGGCGAGAAACATAGAAAGAGCCAGACTGATTGTTATCAACAACGTGTGAGCAATTCGGAATGATATTGTATGAATTATTCAGGTGGAAATGGTCTTTTATTTAATCCTCCGCGGGCAAATGTAGCGCCAAATTGTGGAATTATATAGATTATCGGCTCGTTACCAAGGTTTCTTGGCTTTCGTTACCGAAGTTTTGATCTGCAAATCTCGACCACAGGATAATAAATCAGTCAAGTTGGTTTACATTTGAAATTATTATTGTTTGAGGGTGTAGCTAACTTTTAAATTATTTATTATACATGAAATTTAGAGGCTAACAAATAATTCAAATTTTTTATTTTAAAGATTCTGTTCAAATTTTTGGTTATTATTGAGCTTGAAAGAAATGGAAAATTTGTGAATGAAATTTAAATCTCGCAATCAAAAAAATTTCCAACTCAAAAGTTTTGGAATCTTGAGGGAAGTTTTTATCTCTATCTTGTGAATTTTTTATCACGTCTTTTTTTACCAAATTAATTGAAAACAAAATGCATAATTATGTCTGTAAAAAAATAATCCCTTATTCATTAAGATTGACTCAGATCCTTAATTTATTTTCATTTGACGTGACGAAAAGTTGCACTTTTACAGCTCTAGCAAGTCTGACACATGATTCACTGCACATATTTTTTTATGCTTTTTACTGCCAAGATCTCAAAGACAATAGTCGAGAAACAATGGTGTGCCACAGGCGGTGACGCAATGGGGAAAAGTGCTCCCAGTTGGGTTGAATAAGAATCTCTTATCGGACATTTCACAGCAAACATTACGCC